CACCACTCATGTATATATGTGTGTGTGTGTGTGTGTGTGTGTGTATGATTGCATGGTTTGTTTTTTCCATAGTAAGTACAGACAAAGAATATTCCAAATGTTTTCTCTGGACTCCATTTTATTTAAGAATAGATGCTATGCCATGATTGTTCTTTCCAAAGAAATGCTTATGTAGTAATACTATTGCTTGCCTACTAGGCATTCCATGATATGCAGCATATGCATCATTAACCCAAGGTCTGGAGAATAAGCTTGATCCTTACCCTCAACGCAGTGCCTACTCAAGGTCACAGTGACTCTCTTTACTCTAGTGCATAGTTCAGTGAATAACTGTGTGTGAAGTTAATTGGGAAGTAAAATATAAGTATTAAGTCAGGTTCCTAGATCAGTAGTAACAACTACACTCAATATGGGTGTTAATTTTACTCTGTTTTATTGCTTAAATGACATCTAATTACTTTTACTCTCTGATGGAAAACAAATAGAAGTAGCAAATCATGATTATTGTTATTCATATTAGATTAAGTCGCAGTAAGGTATGTCACAAAAGTAAATCAGTTAAGCACCATAAAATAATCTGGGACATGGGAAATTGTCAAGCTCCTCTTTCCCATTAAAATCATACATTATATATTTAAAAAAAAAAAACAGAATAAATCTTTACATCAAGCATCTTGACGAATGTATCCTGGGACAGTTTTCAAATATTTTCTAGCATGATCAGACAAGAAGGAATTGTTCAAAAACAAACTTTTCATGGGGTTGTTTGGAAATGCTTTAACTTCCCTGTCTCCCAGGTGAGGTTGAGGATACAAAATAAGTGATGTCATGGAGGATCTTGAAAGGTTCATTAGAGTAGCTTCTATCCAAAGAGCAAGAAAAGAACCTTGTCTGTCAAGGAAGTACATAATCATAATGGACTGTCGTGGGTTCTGCAGAAAGAGAAGAACAAGCAGACCATTATTCATATAAAAGCAGAACTCTAGATATGTGGGGCCTCTGATAGCTTCACAATAGTAGGAAACTCTTGGACAATTTTTCAATAGAGTATGAAAATCTTTAGCAGAGAAAGAAGTCATGTGTAATCAACATAAAATAATATAGGAAGTAGAAGGGAGTAGTCAAGACCTTTAACTGAGCAAGGAACATTCATATCACACTTTTGTTTCCCAAGGCTCAGAAAACATGGTAAAATTATTAGAATAGCCAGAGGTCAGGGAGTCTTGTAATGAAAGAGTGCCTTATGAATGTGTCAGAACTGCTGTATTATGATCTCCCAGCAGCTGTGGTTGTCCAGTCCTACAGGAGCTGACCTGAAATTAAACTCATGTATATATGGGCAGCACTCAATGACCTGAGTAGGTGATTTAAAATCAAATCAAAACAAAACAAAAAATGAGGACATGAATTTGGAAGGTTACTTGGCAGAGAATCGATAATGAGCTAGATGGTTTGAGGAGGTATGATCCAAATACATAATATTTATAGATGATATTTTTCAAACAATAAGTACCACATGCTGTATTTAAAAAAATAAAATAAGAAAATTCACCCATATACAATCCACATTGTTTTTTATGCTAATGGTAATTAATATAGTAAGTTTCTGTTGACTTGCACAACCTAGTGTTATGTGAATCTTAGTTGAACAATTGTCTACATACATCTTGCCTTTGGGTACATCTGTGATGTATTTTCTTACTTGCTAAACAATACAGGAGGGCCATGCTCACCATGGACTTTGCCATCCTTGGGCAGGAAAGCCTGAGCTGTATAAGAATTATAAATGAGCAAGCCAGTGGAAGAAAGTCAACAAGCAGTGTTTTCCAAAAGCATCTTCTTCAATTCCTCTCTCTAGCTTCCTGCTTTAAGTTCTTTTCTGAAAATCCCTTGGTGACATGAAATTTTTAGAGAAATAAACCTTTCCTCCACAAGCTGCTTTTGGTCATGATATTTATCACAATGATGAGAAGCAAAGTAGGAAAATAGTGCACATCCCAAATTTTGGAAAACAGAAAATCAAACCGATTTTCTTTTAAATATTGAAAGAATCATTCCATCTGTTGACAATAAGGAGACAGTGATAAAGCACCATCTAATGTGTATATCACTTTCAACTCTTTGTTTTCCCTATAGATTTCCTTATTGGAAAAGGCTGGGTTTGGAGGTGTTCTTCTCTACATTGATCCCTGTGATGCACCAGAGACTGCAGTGTCTAGCTCTGAGCCCTTTATGGTGACTCTGAATCCAGGAGGGGATCCCTCTACACCTGGATACCCAAGTCATGGTAAGCTTGTTCTTGTAAGCCTTATATAGATATGACTTGTAAGTGTATGCTAATTTATTCAAGGGGTAGGAAATGGAATAAGTCTAAGTGCTTAATACATTCACTGTAAAGTGGGTATCTTTTCAGTAGTATGTACTAATATTCTGTTGGAATAAAGCATGTTTTAGAAATCTATTGTAGGTCATCATTTCAGTGATACATGCTATGGATAGACAGAAAGAAGATGTTATTACTGAGTAATTTATATTTATACATATTAACAAGCAAATACCTGGAACTCTTGTTTGTCATTGTCCCTGCTGCAATGGCCCTGATAACTATGAGTGCAGGGTTTAAGGCTATGTTATGTCAAGTTGAATAGGAGTGGAGGAAGATACTAGAAAATGAATTTGCATGTAGTTTCCTTGGATTGCCCCATTTCTATCAGTTTATAGATACTATCTTTATCTTAAGCATCCTTCTGTATTTTTGAAAGTTGTGTTCAACACAGGGGGAATATGAGACATGAGCAGGACCACTGTAGTTATGGCAAAATTTTTACATTTCTGCCTGGTATATCATTGTCACAAACTCTGTCTATACAGTTGGGCTGAGGAGGGTAGCTCTTTAACCCCATCTCAGGTCAATGCCAACACACTGACCACAATAATTCAGTGTCACCAAGGTATGTACAGAATTTTTATACTTTATACCTACAATTGTCTAATCATATTTCTTTGTGGTCATTCTACAATTATCAAGGCAATTTAAATAACAATTAAATAATTACCCTAATCACAATTACAGGCTTTACAAACTATCTCCAATCCTTTCCTTAGTTTTATTGTTGTTTGCTTGTATATGGAGCTGCCTTCAATCTTGAAATAAAGTTTTCATTTAATTGCATGTTCTTTAATTTTCTCCATTTGGTAATATTCTCAAAGTACAATTTTTTTGTACTGTTGACACTACTTCTACCTAGTCAGCTTGTCAAGTATTTTTGGCCATACCTTCTGTAGAAATCTGAAGACATTCCATCTCCTTTAAAGTGCTCATCAAAACGACCCTATTGTTGCTGTATCTGTGTTCCCATGATGCCACTCCAGGTCCCTCAGTTTTGTATTTAACAGTTTTCTCTGTTAGTGCCTATTGTGATCACCCTATGTGGCAACGCTAGGAAACATTAAGTATCTCCTTTCCTTTTAACCCTTCCCCCCAGTTTGAGAAATGTTCAATGCTTCTCACCTGCTATAATGACAGGGCTATTTGCCAAATGATTTGACATTTCTAGTATTCCTTTAAACAAGCTCTTCATGAACTTTCTTTGTTTCCCAGGCTAGCCTCATATTTGACAATCACCCTACTTCTGCCTCTTAAACCTTTGGATTGGTGGTATGAGCCACCACTCAGCTTAGAATACATTTTTAATGGTAGTAGAATGTGCTGTATACATTGTAACAAGGTGAAACACTAAATAACTATGGAGGGTACAATCACTTATAGTGTTAGTCTTTTTAGATATAAAGATGAACAATATTATCTACAATGTTTCTCCATGCCATATTAATAGGTACTAAATAAAATTTTCTTTTGCAAGCATAATACTAGTAGAAAGAATGCCTCCTTTTTCCATATAAAGTTCAATATAGTAGAATAGAAGTCTGTTCTATTTTAAAGAAGATTAAACTCCAAGGAAATAGAACAAACAAATATTCTAGAAGGTACTTTCTTTCTTTTGGTTTTATTTATAATGAATGCAAATTAAAGAGAACAGTCCAGTAACCACTTGGTGTCACCTGTGTGGCTGTATCAATGGCGACTAGTCTACTATTTTTCTTTGGTCTATGTATTCCCTAATACCTTATAGCATAGGTCAGTATTTTCCAGAAAATTTGAATAAATTCAAATGACAATAGAGCTAATGTAGCTAAGAACTGTTTCAATACCTCAGAGTTCTGAGCCACAACAAGTAAGACAGCATATACACCAAAGATGCTTACCGTCAAATTCAGTCCTCTTACTTTTCATTTCCAGAACTCACTAGGCAGAGGGGAAAGTTGAGTACCAGAGATTTTCCTGTGACCTCCACCTCCACAGGACACCCCCAGATGCCCTACCAAATAAATCACACTCAGAGTGTGATTTGTCTAATGCAAGTTTTACATCACTTCAAGTGGGTGATTGTAAGTTAAGATTATGGAAATATTCCTCCAAACATTTTAAATGAATTGCTGGCACGAGACACAGGGATTCCATATAAGGAATTGCTACTTACTGAGCCTCATTGCCCAGCCAAGTAGTTCCTGAATATTATTGAATCAGCAGGGAAGAAATAGTTTCTAAACACCATGTTCCCATGTGGTTCAGAAAAGAATGTCTTGGGATCATCACTTTAAAAAAAGCAGTCTTTTGAATACTTCCAGCATGCCAAAGGCTTGGAGCTTTATTTTCTTGACAGTGAAAAGAATATTATGCTGCTCCACTGTGTCTCTCCCAAAGTAGTTTTAAGGAAATGGAAAGCCTTGAGTTCCAAGTCAGACTTAAATGGGAACTTTGAAGGAGAGAGCAATCCATCTGTATTCAAACTCACTTTGCTGGTGATTCTGAAGCAACTCAACTTTGAGAAGCACTGAGCCAGAGCAGCTTTATTGTACTTCATCTGCCATGTCTAAATTGGACCAGAGGGGCCAGTGTTCTGAACTCGGTGACCTAGTGCTTTTGCTCCCTCAGCATCAGGGCCTTCCATATTTGCTCTCTTGATATCAATCAGGATTCTGACATGGCATGCTGGATTTCAGGGCAGTTCTTGCTCTCAGCAGGCTACAGATACAAAGCCAATGTGGCTCAGTAAACAATCTCTTCTGGGACCATGAGTGATGCCCTTGATGGTCTTTGTCCTCTATTTAATCTCTAACTATAATCTAATGACTGCTCCTTTAAAAATGTGACAGCATTATCTCTGATACATTATTCACAGAATATATATCTTCTTAAGTGCATTACAAGACTTGTCATGTCTTCAGTCACTCAAAACACAATTCTATAGATACCAAAATTTAAAATTTTTATTATTTTCATCTTGACTTAATCTTAAGTACCTGCATACTGTACTTCTGGTTCTCTATCTTATTTAAAAGATTTATCTGTGTCCCTCTCCTGTGTCCCTCTCTGTGCTTGTGACCAGTCTTTCCTCCATTTTATCTTTTTTTTTTAATTCTTGAGAGGAAGTTATTTTCAGTAGCTTTACTCTATTGAAGTGTGTCAGAGGCACAGTTTATTTAATATTCCCACTGTTACAATTCAGTGGGTCTGTGTGCTGTTTAAGTACTTACTGTCTGCTCAGCATCAGCCCTGCCAGCCAGTGCTACTAAAAGAATCAGTTGATCACTGTGACTTGTGACAAGGCTTCATCAGGTGTCCTTGGTCCAGTTACTTGGACAAATGTCTGAAGACGGGCTTGACTTGGCACTAAATTACCTGAGACAGTGTTGAACTATTCCCTGACTAGAATACCAGACAATATAAATATAAGCCTAGCTGTGGAAGAAACGTATTAGATATTTATGGCATAGAATAATTGCATTTTTTCTTGGTTGAGGAAGTACTGAAATTGTCTGTATTCTTATCATTTTGCTATACTGAATGGTGGCTTTTGTTCTGGTGCATTTCGTCCCTTCCCCTTTTAAATTTATTTATTCATGTTACATCTGGATCCATATCCTCTCCCAGTCCCCTCTTCCGCAGTCCCTACCTTCGGGGCTGTTGTTCAAGCGTGGGTGTGGATTCTGTGGGGCTGTTGGGTTGAGTTGTAGATCCCGTGTGTCTGCCACAGATCAGGGAGTCAGAAGTGTGGAAATTTGACTGAGTTCACTCCCTGCTGCAGACGTCGAGCTGTGAGAAGTCACAGAACTCTGCTCCAGGAGTGGGGAAATCTCAGTCTGAGACCTGCAGGGGCGGAGCTCTTAGATGGGAACCCTGGGCAAAAAGGCATGCAGGATTGACTGGTCCCAGACTCCTGGACTCTCAGGCACTGTTGGGAGCCACAGAAGAGTTGAGGCTGGGGGTATAAGGGCTGGATCAGCCCGCAGCCAAGGGGGACGAGGAAGAGAGCTTTGGCAGTGCCTTTGCGGGGTGGATGAGACTCTTGGTCAAGGCGACTCACTTGGCCGGGTCATGGCTGGTTCGGCTACTTGCTTGAGTTGACAGGCCTCCATGGTGGGAACATAGAGAAGTCCTCTGGTGGGAGATTAGGTGGCACTGGCTCATTAGTTGAAGGCCCCCTCTACGGTTCTCCATGGCAGGCCCCAAAGACAGGAGGAAGTCCATGGTTTTAAAAGGTTTGTTGTCTTGGCAGAAAGTGGATGAAGCTGTACCTCATGTCCTCAGGGTGGGCCTAAGGTTAAATATCTTTTGCAAAGAGGAGAGTCCAGGAAGGAATGCTTAATTGGCTATGCCCACTGGCCTTTAGGTAACTCATTATTATGGAAATCTCTTGAGATGCTGCGGCCAGTAGTCACACCCTTTACCTGTGCTAGGTGACTGAAGGCCACAAATCTTTTTTTGGGAGGGGTTGTGGATGGCTGAAGCTAAGTGAAAGGAACCGGAGCCCATGAGCAAGGCTGAACTCCTACCGTCCCATTAGAGTATCTGCACTTCGAAGCCTGCACTTGAAGAGGTACCCAGCTGCCTGCCTCTCACAGCCCACCGTCCCACACCTTCCCCAACTCCTTATTCCCTTTCTCCTCTGAGAAGGTGAAGAATTCCCTTTGTTGTTCCCCCACCCTAGCATATAATGTCTCTGTAGGGTTAGATCCATCTTGTCTCACTATGGCCAGACCAGGCAGTCCAACTAAAAGAACATATCCCATGTACAAACAACAGCTTTTTTGAAAGCACCCAAATAGTTGTTTGTGATAGGTGTTTGAAACCCACATGAAGACCAAGGTGTGCATCTGCCACATATGTATGGGTGTCTGATCTAGCCTGTGTATGGTCTTTGGTTGGTGGCCCCAAAGGTTCAG